CCATCAGACAGGGATAACTGGTTTAAAATGGTTTCCACAAGAGATGCCTTCGGAAGCCAAGCGTCGTGGAATCATCCTTATAGCGGTGCTGTTTCGTGATGAATTATCACAGCATGTATCGGTAGCAAGCTGTAGGAAGAGCCATGTAGGCGAAGCGTGCTGCCGCGAATATGCTGTGTAAGCCAGTGTTGCAAGATGAAAGGGTCGATGCGCCACTTGTACAAGGCACACGGACTGAGTTTCTTGCGTACGTCAGCCATAAAGATGCAGGAAAATATAAGAAACACGAATGCTGCACATAGGAAGTTGTAGCTAGGGAATGCTGTATACAGGGCCTCCGAAATTCAAGATGGACTGTTGCATGTCAGCCTGGGGCGACAATAATTGTCGACAGAAGAGGTTTCCGCCTGTCAGAGACTGTCGATCATCAGCATGCAAATCACAGCCTCTGTAATAAAATAATGAATACATTAGCAGCCTCTATACACGCAATACAAAGAAAGACACGCTTCTCAGCCTGGGGCGACAAATTCGTCGACAGAAATGTTTTCCGCCTGTCAGAGATTGTCAATCATCATGAAGCACGCAGAATCACTAAATGTGTACGCGACGAAAGAACCGGCAAAACCCGCAATCTACATATTCCTGTAACACAATATTCAAAAACAAATATTTAAAGCGTTGGAATGATGAAAAAAAAAAGTTGTTTAGTCGACTTCTATTGCTTCTACTTGCTTTTGTTCTTCAGCAAGTGCGAGCAGTGCACGCTGCTGCTGCTCCAGTAACAATGCGGGTTGCTGTGCCGCTAGCTCCCTGCGTATTTCAGGCCCAACCTTCGCATGAAAGTAGACCTTTAGGACTTCTTTCAGCTTTGCTCTATGAGAGGCCGTCAGGTTGACTGTGCACAAATAGCATATGGAAGCACAGTTAAAAGAAATTGATGCAAGCGGAGTTACCCGGAAACGAACTGTAGATAGAAGCGGATCTCATACGTAAACAAACCAAGCAAGAATCGGGCCTACCTTTGTAGCGCTGAACTAGAACCAGAAGGCATTTGTGCCAGGCCACCGTCACCTTCACTTCACTCGAGAGAAACCGGTGAAAGTGGTTGACGCATTCTTCAATTGCCTGAACGAGGAAAGCAGAGAAGCAGGAAAAGCACCGGAGTGAAATGAGTGAAGATTTACCAGCGGGAATAAGCGACCTCGCGAAAAGGTTGCGACAAAGGCCACAGATAGACGCTGCAATATAATATTGCAAGGTGAAAAAAGATCTGCAGCAACCGACGAACGCCGAGACCGAGTGTTCCTTGCAGCTACGCGAATATCCCGCAAGTCGGCCGGTAGATGCCGCTACACACACCTGAATCGGCAAGGAGTACTTCTTGTCAATCAAAACCGTCATCATGTGGCTGACCGACGGGATCCACTGGTCAGGCTCAACCGCAGCCAACCTGAACAAGGCTGCCGCGCCGTGAAGAACGGGAATAGAAACTTTCGCGACAACACTGCCCACGATTATCGCCTCTCT